AAAATTCATTTTACCACACTTGCTCCAACACTGGATGTATTCTTTTAAATCTCTACCAAATTTGATAGGTAAAAAGGTAATATATTATTTTAGTTTTCATTTTTTTGGTTATTAATGCTGTTGAAAATGTCCTCACAGGTTTAATGGCCATTTGGATTCCTCCTTTTGTCCTTTGTTCCTTTGCATTTGTATGCTCATCTTTTCATATTGATTTGAAAGAACATTTTATATACTAGGAATGTTAACTATAGTATTTCAGTAAAGTTAATACTTTTTATCCTCTACCACCCTACTGCTCAACTCATTTGGATACAGATAAAGAATCACTAATTTGCAGACATCGCAAGTTGGGTTACATATATTTTAAAACTGGTTAGGAGCCAAAAAATAGAGCATTTTTTTACTTTGTTCACTTTATTGTGAAAAAGTTCATTTGACTGCAGAATAGTACTAAGTACAACCCCATCATAAATGGGGTCCAAAAATTTTGTATAAATGATTACCTCAGGGTTTATGAACATACATATATGTGTGTGTGTGTGTGTGTGTGTGTGTATATATATATATAAAATGTAACTAATTTCTTTTTATTTGTAATGTTTTATTTTTTTCTGAGAGAGCGAGCGAGCAAGGAAGGGTCAGAGAGAGAGGGAGACACAGAATCCAAAGTAGGCTCCAGGCTCTGAGCTAGCCGCCAGCACAGAGCCCGACGTAGGGCTCAAACCCATGAACCGTGAGATCATGACCTGAGCTGAAGACGGATGCTTAACTGACTGAGCTACCCAGGAGCCCCAAGGTTTATGAATATAAATGGATGGATGGAGAAGAGCTAATAACTAGCTTCATTGTATCTGAATTCACTGTTTCCAATACTTAAAAAACAAAAACAAAAAAAAACCTGCATTAAAAAAAAATTTTTTTTAATGTTTTATTTATTTTTGAGAGAGAGAGAGAGACAGCGTGAGCAGGGTAGGGTCAGAAAGGGATACAGAATCTGAAGCAGGCTCCAGGCTCTGAGCTAGCTGTCAGCACAGAGCCTGATGCGGGGCTCGAACCCACGAACCGTGAGATCATGACCTGAGCTGAAGTTGGATGCTTAGCCGACTGAGCCACGCAGGTGCCCCTCCAATACTTTTAAAAATAGATGAAATAAACAGCACAAATTCTTTTGGTTGTTATAGACTTTCTAATACAGAATCAAGACTGGGGCACCTGGGTGGCTCAGTCAGTTGAGTGTCTGACTTCAGCTCCAGTCATGGTCTTGGTTTGTGGGTTTGAGCCCCAGGTCAGGCTCTGTGCTAACAGCTAGTTCAGAGCCTGGAGCCTGCTTCATATTCTGTGTCTCCCTCTCTCTCTGCCCCTCCACCACTTGCACTCTGTGTCTTTCTCTCAAAAATAAGTAAACATAAAAAAAATTTAAAAATAACATACAGAATCAAGATAAAGCAGGGGTGCCTGGCTGGCTCTGATGGTAGCACGGACTCTTGATCGTGGGGTTGGGAGTTTGAGCCTCACGTTGGATGTAGAGATTGCTTCAACAAATCTTTTTTTTTTTTTTTTTTTTTAAAGAATCAAGTGGTGCATGTGTAGCTCAGTTGGTTAAGCGTCCAACCCTTGATTTTAGCTCAGGTCATGATCTCAGATTCCTGAGATTGAGCCCCATGTTGGGCTCTGAGCTGGACATGGAGCCTGCTTAAGACTCTCTCTCTTCCTCTCCCCATCCCCAACTCACACTCTCTCTTTTTCTCAAATACATACATACATAAATAAAAATAAAAAGAATGAAAGCAAGTCTAGTGATTGCTAAATAAAAGGCTAAGTCAAGTCTATCCTCATTCTCTCAGAAGCAGGATCAAAGTGAGGCTAGGCTGGGGAACAAAGATAGCTACTACCACTGCCTGCCCCCAGCCAACATAGGAGTGATGGAGTTGTAAGGGCACCACAAGGCTGGAATGAAGGAAAAGTGAGGAAGATGCAACCCCTTCCAGAAAACATATATACCTTTCAGGTATAACACCAGATCTCTATGACTACTAAAATTAATAGTCAGAAATACTTAAGCCAATGGGTTCCTCACATACGACCTAGTGTACTCCCATGTTCTTTAGGGCGTTATTTATTTTGGGGCCTCCTTTCACCATTTGAGTGGGGGCAGGTGAGGAAGGAACATCAGTACATGGATGTTAAGAGTACCTGCACGATGTCAACAGTAGAAAATTCTTTTGTCAGAGACTGCCAGACCAAGGTCTGTACCAACATTCTCTCACCAGTAGCAAATAGTTTCCCTCTACTTCAAATGTAGTTTCTTAATCTTTTTAGAGGCATAAGGATTGAAAAAAATCAGTTTTAATATTCTGTGTACTTCTTCTATCCATTTTAACATCTAGAACACCATTAAAGAAACAGTGGCAGGGGCCCTCCTACACTGTTGGTGGGAATGTAAGCTGGTGCAGCCCCTCTGGAAAACAGTATGGAGGTTCCTCAAAAAATTAACAACAGAACTCCCCTGTGACCCAGCAATAGCACTGCTAGGAATTTACCCAAGGGATACAGGAGTGCTGATGCATAGAGGCACATGTACCCCAATGTTCACTGCAGCACTCTCAACAACAGCCAAAACATGGAAAGAGCCTAAGTGTCCATCAACAGACGAACGGATCAAGAAGATGTGGTTTATCTACAGAATGGAATACGACACGGCAATGAGAAAGAATGAAATCTGGCCATGTGTAGCAATGTGGATGGAACCTGAGGGTGTTATGCTGAGTGAAATAAGTCAGGCAGAGGACAGCTACCATATGTTTGCATGTATAGGAGGAACTTAATGGGGGACTATGGGGGAGAAAAAAGTGGGAAATAGGGGGGAGAGGAAGGGGGGAAAACCATGAGAGACTCTTGAATGTTGAGAACAAACTGAGGACTGATGGGTATGGGGGGGAGGGGAAAGGGGGGTGATGGGCATGGAGGAGGGCACTTGTGGGGATGAGCACTGGGTGTTACATGGAAACCAACTTGACAATACACTATTTATAAAAAAAAAAAAAGAAAGAAAGAAAGAAGAAACAGTGCCAGGGGGCTCCTGGGTGGCTCAGTGGGTTGAGCATCCAATTCTTGATTTTGGCTCAGGTCATGATCCCAGGGTCATGGGATCAAGCCCTACATTGGGCTCTGTGCTGAGCTTGGAGTCTGCTTAATATTCCTGCCACCACCCCGCCCCGCCCCCACCGTCTCTCTCCCTCTGTCCCTCTCCTGGCTTGTATTCTCTTTTCCTCCCTAAAAAAAGGGGAAGAGAGAGAGAGAGAGAGAGAGAGAGAGAAATAGTGTTAAACTTGACAGTGGATTTTGTTTTAATTTTTAAGTTATTTACTTATTTTGAGAGAGACAGAGAGAGAAAGTGGGGAGGGGCAGAGAGGGAAAGAGAGAATCCCAAGCAGGTTCTGTGCTGTCAGCACAGACACACAGCATGAACAGCAGATGACCTGAGCTGAAACTAAGAGTCAGACGCTTAACAGACTGAGCCACCCAGGAGCACCCCCCCACTTTTTTTTAAAAGTTCATTTATTTTGAGAGAGAGAGAGAGAGAAACAGCGTGTGCCCAAGTGGGGGAAGGGCAGAGAAAGACGGAGAAAGAGAATCCCAAGCAGACTCCACCCTGTTAGCACAGAGCCTTATGCGGGGCTCAAACTCACAAACCATGAGAACATGACCTGAGCCCAAGATGGGGCTCGGTCCCATGATCGCGTAATCAACTGGGCCAATCAGGTTCCTAAACTCCTAATATGAGAACTGGCATCCTGAATCCTAAAGGCTGCATTTGGCTCTCTGGAAGAAAGCAGGATTTCTAGCAACTGAATAGAACCTGAAAGTCATATGCTGACTGAGAGCGAACCTTGGGCTCAGAGGTGGCAGCAGAAGGCACAGGGAGTCCACAGCAGTGCCTCACAGCTGGATAAGCCGAGAGGCTAGAGCTTCATGCCCAGAGCATGTGCTTTCGTAGAGCAGTTCTGCCTTTGTATATGTGCGATATACTGGGGTGTCATGGAAGATTTCTCCTTGGTTATACTATCATCCTTATTTTAAAATGAGCTGAAGCTCACAAAAGTGAAATAACTTGTTTAAGGTTACAGAGCTAATTAAACATGTTATTTCTATTACAATTTATTATGACCTACAGTTGGATCAGTATGGCTGTCTCAATAATATACTAATAAGGCACTGAAAAATTTAAAACTTCTCAGTTTTAATATCTTTTTATGAAAAGAATTCAAATGATCCAAATCAAATTAGACCAATTTTTTTTTTAAGTAGGCAGTAATATGCAGGAAGGTAAACAACTTTCAAGTAAAACTCGATTTTAACATATTTAACATCTTTTAAGACTCAGTTTTGATTTTATCTCTGAACTAAAATGATGCAATTGCTGAGTCTTCTAGTCAGCCTACATTTACAATTCAGGAGAACATAAATATGAGAAAGAACCATTTCCTCCTATTTTTAGGTTACTAACCTGATGAACTATACTTAATACCTTTTTTATAATGTTTATTTTATTTTTGAGAGAGAGAGTGTGAGCAGAGGAGGTACAGAGAGAGAGAGAGGGAGAGGATCCAAAGCAGGCTATGGGCCGATAGCAGAGAGCCCAACTCAGAGCTCAAATTCATGAACCCTGAGATCATGACCTGAGCAAAAATCGATGCTCAACCGACTGAGCCATCTAGGCGCCCCTTGCCCATCTTTTACTTTTAAAATCAGGTTATAGGGCCCTATAAATAAGCAAACAAACAAACAAACAGATTTATTTCTAACACAAAGCATTTCAAATTTCAAATATATGAGTTTCCTATTGACCACCATATTTTGGGTATATATCTTTGTCAAAAACAAACAAACCAAAGGAAAACAATACCCACAAAGGTGCAAGAAAAATGTTATTTTATCTTCCTCATTTGTCCTTGGTATATATTCTTAAAGCAAACAAATAAATCATGTCTAGTGCCTACCTGAGCCATCAGTGGGAACTGAACTTGCATTTATTCCGGAAAGACCAAACAAAGGACATTCTCGATCTGTGTTGACATGACCCCATTTGTGACATTTAATGCACCTCACATTTCGAACCTGAGAAATAGTGAACATTATTTCAGCTATTAAAATACTAAGACTCTAGGCAATGTTCAAATTCCTACTCCCTGGCAGAGTTTAAGTTAAATAACTCTCATTTTTAGAAGATTTCCAGGGAATGAGACTCTGTAACTATTTTGGTAATTTAACATAGATACTAAATCTTTCAAATTCTACCTACAAGTTAAATTGAACACTATCTCTTTTTGACTGTTACATGGTGGTAACAAAACAACGTTATCCAAAAAGGTAAAATACCAAAAAGGAATAACATCACGGTTTAATCTTAAATTTTCTAATTTAAAAAGTTAACCCTTAAAGTTTCAGTTTCCAAGCTTTTTCTGTAAAGGACCAGATATTAAGTATGTTAGGCTTTGTGGGCCAGAGGTCTCTGTTGCAGCTACTCAACTCTGCCAATGTAAGCAAGAAAGCAGCCACAGACAATACGTACGTGAATAAGGAAGGCAGGACTCCAAAAAATGTTCTTTCTAACAAGAATTTGACCCTGTGGTGATAGTTTGTCCCAGTTCTTAAAAAATACTTTTATATCTTTTCTTGATCTTGAGCTAATTCTCTCTCAATTCCTGAAAACTGCAGAGATCCTTATTATTACAACCCTCAGTACAAAACTTTGATTCCTATTTTTTTTTTTAAATGGGAGAAAATCAAATTTAACAGATGTACATACAGGGAATCTACATAGACATGAAATTCCTGATTCCTGTCTTTTATCAATCTACTACACTTAATGTTTTCTCCTCTAAGTCCTCTTACTAATGGATACTGATTTGATTTACTAACAAATCAAAACCATAGAGATCTTTTTCAGCTTAAATACCTTTTGGACAACAAAAAGAAGTATTTATTAAATAGAAATTATTCTTATAGAGTAAAATATGTGTCACTTGCCTGAATACCAAAGGGCTGATCTCTGATGTTCATATCATCTTTGGCATATCTGTGAAGCAGAGAGAGTGTACAAACACAATATTAAGAACAATTTAATAAACAGCAGTTATTCTGAAAATAGTTTTATAATTCTAAATACGTTATAAAATGTATAACACAGAACTATGAAATCCATTTAGTATTTCCAAACACCATTTCATATTAAGTGTTCAGTTTGATGATTTGTGATATTAAAAAAATGAAAAACGATTTAAATTAAAGTCTATGATCAAGGGGCTCCTGGGTGGCTTAGTCGGTTAAGCATCTGACTTTAGTTCATGCCATGATCTTGCCGTTCATAAGTCTAAGCCCTGTATCATGGGAGAGCCCGCTTGGGATTTTCTCTCCCCTATTCTCTCTCTGCCCCTCACCCACTGGTGCACGCACTCTCTCTCTCTCTCTCTCTCTCTCAAAATAAATAAATAAACTTAAAAAAAAGTCTATGATTGGGGCGCCTGGGTGGCTCAGTTGGTTAAGCGTCCGACTTCGGCTCAGTTCATGATCCCACAGTTCGTGGGTTTGAGTCCTGCGTCGGGCTCTGTGCTGACAGCTAGCTCAGGGCCTGGAGCCTGCTTCAGATTCTGTGTCTCCCTCTCTCTCTGACCCCTGCTCATGCTGTCTCTCTCTCTCATAAATAAATAAAAAACATTAAAAAAAATAAAAAGTCTATGATCAAATGAATTGTAGAAGACAAATCATGTAAAATATCTTTTCACATTAGTTGCCTTCTCTAGTGAATGAGAAGGCAACATAAGGTGGGATATCAGATAAAGCTAATGATATATATTTTCTCTCTAAAGAAAACTAGTTCTTACTTTTCCCGTGGGGCTCCTTTCTGCCATTCAAATTTGTATTCAGTCTCTCCTTCTGTTTCTTCTTTCTAAAAACATTCATTAAGAAATATTTCAATTTTTCCATTAAATTACAATCTATTGCAAGTAAATCTTAACACAGAAAATAGTACCTTACCTCTTTGTTTTCTTGATAGCGTATCAAAATATGGGTGAAAAAAAAAAGGTAGGTCAGGTTAAAAACTTCAACATTAAAGTCTGGTATCTACACTATACTATATGATGATGTCATAGTATTTAATTGTAACTTGTAAGAATTTATTGGTTTGAGTTTTTTCCCCTTCTTTCACAAGATAAAATTCAAATCACTAAAGGATAAATACAATATTGAATGAGACAGTATGTAATAAGTACATTAACCCCTAATTTCTAAACTTTTATATTTTTCACTGACAGAATACTATACTTTCTATTCTTAAGTACATTCAGTAAGAACTGAAGATATAAACACAAATTATAAAAAAGTAAATGCACTTCTGCCGATGTTGATATTTTTTCCTCTTCAAAGACCAAGTCATTAAAAAAAAGTTGTCATGTGGGGCAACTGGGTGGCTCAATCGGTTAAGCATCCGACTTTGGCTCAGGTCATGATCTCACAGTCCGTGAGTTTGAGCCCCACATTGGGCTCTGTGCTAACAGCTCAGAGCCTGGAGCCTGTTTCGGATTCTGTGTCACCCTCTCTCTCTGCCCCTCCCCAGCTCGTGCTCTGTCTCAAAAATAAATATACGTTAAAAACAAATTTTCTTTAAATAAAAAAACTCATCATGAAATATTACTAGCTTAGAAAAATATTTTTAGCATTCATTCAATTGTATTGTAAATTATCTTTACAAAATAACAGCAATTTTAAAAGATGAAGAGCAACTTTTCAAAAACGTCTGTCATAGTAGTTCTATCTTTAGTTGCAAATACATTAAAGACATTAAAAAAAAAAAAAGGAAATGAGGCAAGTACCTTTTTTAGCTCCTGGTGGGGCCTCATACATGAAATTAAGGCCATTCTTTACACGCTCATCTCCCATAAGCAACCTAAATGAAACAAGAAATATAAAGTTAACAATTTTATGTAGGGGGAAAAATTACAGAATAACTGTTCTCCATCTCCAAAATCCCTAAAGGAATTAAGAGAAAATATTTTTGTTAGAAAGTTCTAAAACTTTATTTCACCGATTAGATAACATCTGAAATACATGAATGGAAATGCAAACAGTCCTGCCCCTTTAGTAATTGGTTTTAAGTTCTGAGACTTTCTCATTACCTGAGAGATCCTCGCCCTCCCAAAAGAAAAGGGGGAAAATGCCATGGTCACTCTCGCATGCTTTTCTTAAACTTTGAAATGCTATGGAAATAATGACAGCTTTGAAATCCTATATGCCAGCTAAATTTGGAATTAAGTTAAATAATGCCAACATTTTTTCTTAATTGTGAGGGATCAAAAGTTTTGGAAAAATGAGTCTCTCTGGAATTTCTTTAGAAAGTCAAATCCAATTAATGCTTGTAATAAGAGTCAAAGTCAATAGGAGAATCAAATTCTTTGATGAGGCCAAAGAAAAGAGAATAGCTTAAAGATATTCTACAACAGGTTAATTACTATGATGGAATCAATGTCTGTTGCACCTCAAAAATCATTTTCTTTTTAAAAAGTTCTGTTTCAACACTGAAAGTTCCCAGTTTGGGTTCTGTTTAGAGAGATATGCTATGACTTTTTTTTTTTTTAAAGCTCTGCAATAAATTGAATGACTGGTTGAATTAAAGTTTTGATTCATAAGATCCAAGTAAAGTACTGATAATAAAGATGAAAGCTAAAGAGTGAATAGAATTTCCGCTTATATTTGAAAAAGGCAATCACAAAGGATTACATAATTATAATTCTCTCATTTCCAGTGGCATTTATAAAGAACTGTAAAAAAAAATGGAAGAGAGAAAAAGGATAACAGGATCTATATTCATACAATGGAATATTATTTTGCAATAAAAAGGAATGAACTACTGATACACGCTACAAAATAGATCAACTTCAAGAACATTATACTAAGTGAAAGAAGCCAGTCACAAAAGACCATTTATATGTATGATCCCATTTATATGATATGACCAGAATAGGCAAATCTATACAGACAGAAAGTAAATTAGTGATGGCTTAAAGTTGAGAAGTAGAAGGACAGGGTGTGGGATGGGAAGTACCTGCTGATGGGTACAGTATTTCTTTTTCAGATGATGAAAATGTCCTAATAGTAGATTATGGTGATGGCTCCAAAACTTTGTAAATATATATACTTAAAACAACATACACTTTTAACAAGTGTGCAAATTATATCTTAAATTAACATTTTAAAAATTAAAATCAGCAACGAAAGAAAAGCTCAACATCTAGTTATCAGAGAAGTATAAATCAAGACCATAAGATACTACTTCACACTAAGTCGAATGGCTATTATTAAAAAAAAAAAAAAAAAAAAGGAAAATGGGGTGTCTGAGGGACTCAGTTGGTTGAGCGTTCAACTCTTCGTTTTGGCTCGGGTCATGATCTCACAGTTTGTGAGTCTGAGCCCCACGATTGGCTCTATGCTGATCGATGGCTCCTTAACTGCTTGGGATTCTCTCCCCCCCCCCACCTCCCCCTACTCACTCTGTCTCCCTCAAAAATAAACTTAAAAATTAAAAAAAAAAATGACAATAAGAAAGATTGATAAGGATATGGAGAAAATGGAATCCTTGTACACTACTGACGGGAATATAAGATGGTGCAGCCACTATGGAAAACAGTTTGATGGTTCTTCAAAAGCTAAACACAGAATTATTATATGATCCAGGATATCGACTCCTAGGTACATACCTAAAGGAACTGAAAGTAGGGATCTGAACAGATAGATATTTGCAGGCCAATGTTTCTAGCAGTGTAACTCATAATAGCACAAAGCTAGAAGTAACCCAAGTGTCCAGATGGAGAAACCAAATATGGTATACACACATAATACAACATTATTTAGCCATAAAAAGAAAAAAAATTCTCATACATGCTACAATATGAATCATTCTTGAACACACCGTGCTAAGGGAAATAAGACAGACACAAAGAGATGAATATTTTATGATTCCACTTATATGAGACACCTTTAACAGGCAAATTCATTTTTACCTTAGAAAGTAAAATAGTGGTTACCAAGGGCTGAAGGGAGGGGGGACAGGGAGTTACTGTTAAATGGGTATAGAGTTTCTATTTGGTGTAATGGAAAAAACTCTGGAAATAGATGGTAGTGATGGTATATAACACTATTAATGTAAGTAACGCTGTGAATTGTGCACTTAAAAAAATATTATATTTTACCCCTACAAAAACCACTTTGTTTATACTGACATAAAAGTAACACATAATCAAAACTGGAAGATCCAATTTCCATTTCATGCAAAATTCAACAGGTATATAAAATAAAAAGGACAGCTATGATATTGGCATTTTAATTTCAATTAAAAACCTGTAAAAACTATTATTATTTTTGTTGCTGATTGTACGCAGAGCGAACGTATAGATTTTTTTGACATCCCAATAAATCTTTTCTTATCTAATCAGAATAATAAACATTATTATTATCTTTAAAAGGAGTATGTAGGAATCAATATTCATAAACATCAAGAAACATCTATGGCAGGAAAAACTTACAAGAGAAAAATTAGGTTACTAAAGAACAAAATTGGCTATCAAGGACACTTCTCAATGAAGGAAATTAAAAAACCATAGCATATCACCAATTACTTATGAATTTGCATTTGAACAACCAAACTGAGAAGCAATCAACACACCTAGTATCCCGAACCTAGTTTCTAAACATCTTTTTCCAATAAAAGGAATCAAGGTCCTTGGAACTTGGTTGATTCCAATACTACAGCAGGGAAAATAGAAGTCTGGACCATCTCATGGTGTCAGGAAGTGGTTTTAAAAAAAAGGCTGAGGTGAGGGTAGGGGATGCCTGGGTGCTTAGTTGGTTAAGCGACTGATTCTTGATTTCGGCTCAGGTCATGAACTTAGGGCTCGTGAGACAGCCTTTGTGAAGCTCCCTGCTAACAGCATAGAGCCTGCTTGGGATTCTCTCTTTGTCCTTCCCCTGCTTGCACCCACATATGCATGAGTGCTCTCTTTCTCACTCAAAATGAGTAATAGAATTAAAAAACTTAAAAAGCCAACAAAATTTTTAAAAATAGGTTATAAAAATAAGGGGGGGGGGCGCCTGGGTGCTCAGTTGGTTAAGCGTCTGACTTCAGCTCAGGTCATGATCTCATGGTTCATGGGTTCGAGCCCCGTGTCAGGCTCTGTGCTGACGGCTAGCTCAGAGCCTGGAGCCTGTCTTTGGATTCTGTGTCTCCTTCTCTCTCTGACCCTCTCCTGCTCATGCTGTCTCTATCTCTCTCTCAAAAATAAATTAAAACATTAAAAAATATATATATATAAAATAATAAGGTTGGGGCATGTGCAATGGATATAGGAGTCAAGCTGGTAGAACAGTCAAAGGCCAAATTGAAACAGTGTGAACAAAATAAACAACAAAATAGTCTTCGATTATAACCCATTAAAATTTTTTTTAACGTTTATTTATTTTTGAGAGTGAGAGAGACAGAGTGTGAGAGGGGGAGGGGCAGAGAGAGACTCTGACACAGAATCTGAAGCAGGCTCCAGGCTCTGAGCTATCAACACAGAGCCCAACACAGGCCTTGAACCCAAAATCCATGAGACTGTGACCTGAGCCAAAGTCAGACACTCAACTGACTAAGCCTGGCACCCCTGGATTATAACCCATTAAATAAACATCTGAGTCCACAATGATAGAAATAAATGATTAAATGAATAACTAAATAGGGAAAGGGAAAATATTTCTTTTCAGAGGAATTCAAATTTCAAAATGTAGAGAATTTTGAAATGTAGAGAAAATGAGAGGAATAATTTATCATCATCATCATCATAATGATTATTCTAAAAACACCAGTATAGTGAAATCTCTTACCTATTATCATATGATTCTTGTTCTTTAAGATACTGTTGCATCAATTCTTCTTGTTTTTTCTTATCATATGATATTTTCTGTTCTGCCATCCATACCTAAATTGGTGAAATAAAATAAGTCGAAAGTTTGCTGGTATTTTATAATTAAACATAAAATGTTATTGTATATAGTTTACAATATAATATATTTTGGTCATAATGACATCATCACAAGGTCAAGGCTGAAAAGCCTGATTTGTGCCTTGATACAGGTCCTTAAATCTAGACATTCAATGGTTAAAATTAACAACTCAGGCAACAACAGATGCTGGCAAGGATGCAGAGAGAGGAACCCTTTTGTGCTGCTGGTGGGGATGCAAACTGGTGCAGTCACTCTGGGAAATAGTATGGAGGTTCCTCAAAATTAAAAATAGAACTACCTTATGACCCAGCAATTGCATTAGTAGGTATTTATCCAAAGGATACAAGAGTGCTGTTTCGAAGGGGCACATGCACCCCAGTGTTTATAGCAGTGCAATCAACAATAGCCAAATATGGAAAGGGTCCAAACGTCCATCAACTGATGGATAAAGAAGATGTGGTGTATGTATACTATGGAGTATTACTTGGTGATCAAAAAAGAATGAAATCTTGCCATCTGCAACAAAGTAGATGGAACTAGAGTGTATTATGCTAAGTGAAATAAGTCAGAGAAAGATAAATATCATATGATTTCACTCATATATGGAATTTAAGATACAAAACAGATGAACATAAAGGAAAAGAAGCAAAAATAATATAAAAACAGGGATGGAGACAAACCATAAGAGACTTTTATTTTATTTTATTTTTTTTAAATGTTTTATTTATTTCTAGAGGAGAGAGGAGACAGCGTGAGCAGGGGAGGGCCAGAGAGAGAGGGAGTCACAGACTGAAACAGGCTCCAGGCTCCGAGCTGGCAGTCAGCACAGAGCCCGACGCGGGGCTCGAACCCACGAACCGCGAGATCATGACCTAAGCGAAAGTCGGTCGCTTAACCGACTAAGCCACCCAGGCGCCCCCGTAAGAGACTTTTAAATACAGAGAACTGAGGGTTGCTGGAGGGGTTTTGGGTGGGGAGATGGACTAAATGGGCAAGGGGCATTAAGAAGGACACTTGTTGGGATGAGCACTGGGTGTTTATGTAAGTGATGAACCACTAAATTCTATTCCTGAAATTATTATTACACTATAGGGTAACTAACTTGGATGTAAATTTAAAAATAATAATAATTTAAAAAAAGAAAAAAAATCTAGTCATTCAAAACAGCTAAACTTTCAGGAAAAAATCAAATTTAAGAACCACTTTAAGTACCTGTAGTACAACAGCTTCTTGCATTTAGTGTCTGTGTTATTTCAGAGAAGAGAATGATAATCTTTCTATATGGAACATGTCTAGTCAAGAAAACACCCAGGGCACAGCCAGTAGGATTAAGCAATGCCTCCAAATGCCAATGGGTATCACAGACACTCCAAAAGAGAAGTGGAGGATAAGAAAAAGAGAAAAAGAAAAGGAACTGAAAGGTAGTTACAGTAAAAAGGGAAGAGACAAGAGAGGAAACAAAGAGATATATCAAATGTCCTGGAATTGCTCAAGGGCACCAATATCATAGGCTGAATGTATCCCTACATGAAATCCTCAAAATCATAAAAGTGCCCACACAAATTATGCAAGGATACTTAATCAGGTTATTTCTAGGTTGAAAAGGTATCAATGACTTCCTACTGCCTTTACAGTAAATGACACAGTATTTGACAACCATTCAATGTAAAGAGCAAGTCAGAACTTTCTATCCATAGGTGCCTGTGTGGCTCAGTTGGTAAGCCTCTGACTTCAGCTCAGATCATGATCTCATGGTTCGGGAGTTAGAGTCCCACAGTCGGTGAGCTCGAGCCCAGCTTCGGGTGTGCTCATGCCCTGCGCTGGGTGAGCACACACCTCACTTCAGGCAAGCTGCACTTCTCTCTCTCTCTGCCACTTGTGGGATTCTCTAGCTCTCAGCCCCATGCTCACTTGTGCGCGCTCTCTCTCTCTCTCACTCACTCTCTCTCACACACACACACACACACACAGACAAACGTTCTTTCCAAATATGCTAAGTTTTAAGAAGGTAAATTAGAGAACAAATACATTGATAAAATTATGTTATTAACTGTGGAGACAGACAGATGCAAGAGGAGGGTGTGGGACAAGACTGGCCATTAGTTAATTTTAGAAGCAAAACAGGGGCAGTTACCAGTTTGTATGTATTCATTTATTCACTCACTCACTCACTCACTCATTCATTCGTTCAGGCAGAGAGAGAAGAAGAGAGAGAATCCCAAGCATGCTCTGCTATGTCAGTGCTGAGCCTGATGCGGGGCTGGATCTCATGAACCAAACCGTGAGATCATGACCTTAGTTGAAACCAAGAGTTTCGAAGGTTACGTGACTGAGCCACCCAGGTGCCCCACCAGTATTTTAGTAGTGATGAAATAGTAAGGTTCTAGGGAGACACGGTTTGAGATGGACAAGTAGGAATTCATATGGAAATAAAAGCAAAAATAGAAATGAAAAGAGAATTCTTCAGGGACAGAAGATCCCAAAAATTTCTTTTGGTATAAGTTTCTTTCTAAACTTTCCAAAGTTTTCACACTTACTTCATACATACTGACATACATACATACTGACTTCATACTTATGAATGTAAGAATGTAATGTTACAGAATAAAAACCTAAACTTGGGTTAGGCAGTAAAAAGCACATGTTTGGAATTTTCACTGTTAACTCAAAATGAAAACAGTTGCAACAAAGACATACAAGGAGTCACTGCCTGACAGAGTAACATGCTAATAATAGCATAGTATTTCTAACAGAATAACTATTGTTTATTTAAAGCTTTAGATTTTACAATGTTATTTTACCAGTTACAAGTGCTCAAGAGCTTAAATACAAATTGAATATCATGGACTGGAATAAAAATAAAATACATTCTTAGACTTGAAAATGCTCAGAATCTGCTAATAAAAAAGTATAGTCAAGCTATTTCATAATTAAAAAATGAACTGTGTAAGTAATAACAAAGATTGCTATTTGGATAATAGGAATATGCACAAGATAAAGAAATACAACAAGACAGTGATTAGTCTTCCTGGGAGGAAGGCTAGTATAATGGAATGCTTTATAGCAAGTTTTGGTTTTTATATTATTTTTTAATTTTTATTTTTGAGAGAGAGAGAGAGAGAGAGAGAGAGAGAGAGAGGCAGAGAGAGGGAGGCGGAGGATCTGAAGTGGGCTCTGCATTGACAGCAGAGAGCCTGATGAGAACACGACCTGAGTTGAAGTTGGATGCTTAGCCAACTGAGCCAGGCAGATGCCCAAGTTTTGGGTTTTAGAAGTTATTTTTTTTTTACCAATATATTCTTTTGAGTTTATTTATTTACTTTGAGAGAGACAGAGAAAGAATGAGTGACGGACAGGCAGAGAGAGGGGGACAGAGGATTTGAAGTGAGGCTTGAACCCATGAACCATGAGATCGTGACCTGAGCCAAAGTCTGACGCTTAACTGACTGAGCCACCCAGATGCTCCAAAAGTTAATTTTTAAATTAAGTAAATATATTCATAGGCAGCCAATGTTATCATTCCTTCCATTTCTATATCCTTCCAAAGATGTTCTAATGCAAAATATATATATACATATATAAAATACACAATCTTTTCTTACTCTTCTCATAAATGGAAACATATTGCATATATACACAATGTATAAAATAAAATCGAATATCATGGAGATCATTCCTAGGTCAGTTAAGAAAAAGGATTTCTTGGTTTTGGGGGACTTAATATCATTCTACTGTGGAGCTAATCCCATCAATTACTTAACCAATTTGTACTGATCCAATCTGTACTTAATCCTGCTGTAGTGATGGTCATTTAAGAAATTTCTAATCTTTTGCTATTACAAACTCTACTTCAACAAATAACCTTATACACAAGTAACATCATACGTGTCAAGCAGGGTTTTGAAGAGGATAAAAATTTTGCCCAAGGAGAAAAACAGGGTAAGATATTACCAGCAGAGGGAATAACTCAGACAAAGGCTGGAAGGTGTAAAATAAGAGGTAGTTTAATATTACTGGAGTGTAAAATCTGAGGTAAGAGACTAGCAATAGGGGATGAAAAAGGAAAAATAAACTGAAGCCAGATAACTAGGACTTAATCCTGTGGTATTTTACTAAGAAGCCAAGAGATCAGATTTGTGCTTTAAAAAAGACCACTTTAGGGGCATCTGGGTGGCTCAGTGGGTTAAGTGTGACTTCACCTCAAGTCGTGATCTCACAGTTCGTGAGTTTAAGCCCCTCCTCAGGCTCTGTGCTGAGAGCCTGGAGCCCGCTTCCAATCCTGTGTCTCCTCTCTGTGCCCCTTCCCCACTCACACTGTGTCTCTCTCAAATATAAAATAAACATTAAAAAAAATTTTTTTTTAAAAAGACCACTCTATGGAAACAACCCAAATATTCAACTGATGAATGGATAAATTAAATGTGCTATATCAATACAATGGAATTATTAAGCAATCAATATTCTAAATTGTTTGTGATGGTGACTGCACAAATCTGTGGATATACTAAAAACCACTGAATAGTACACTGTAAATGGGTAATTGTATAGTATGTGAATTATATCTCAATAAACTTGCCAAATTAAAAAAAAATTATTCTGATAGCTATGCAGAGAATGGATTTGAGAGGGGTCAAGACTGGAGGCCAAAAAACCCAAACCAAACCAAAACAAACAAACAGAACCCCCAAAACCAAAAAAACCAAACCTGTCAGGAAATTTAATAGTTTTAGGTGGAAGATGACGAGGGTCTAAGCTAAGAAACAGGTAATGGTGATAAAGAGGAGAGGTGAATTAGAGATACCTGGAAGGTAAGACAAATTGAATTTATTAGCTACCTAGATAAAGGGGTAATGGAAAAGGGATATATCTTGAATTTCTGGGTTGGGTGACAGGATGTGTGTTACTTCTATTTCCTACTCACGAGACAGGAAGTATAAAATGAAGAGCAGATTTAGAATGAAAGATCTATCCATTTGATATGTTGAGTCTGAGATGCCTGTAATATATCAAGATGATACTTTCTAGTACATAGTTGTCTTGAGGTGCCTCAAGATAAATCTGAGACTGTAGATTTGACAGTCCTGAGTAAAGAAGTGGTTAAAACCATGAAATTGGACAGGACTCCCTGGGAAAACATATAAAGTAAGGCATAGGCCAAGGATGAAGCTCTGGGTAATACATGTACTTCAGGGGCAGACTAATAAAAATAAGTATGTGTGTAGGAGCAATGAACATTTTATTGAGTAATCCCTCTATGTGGTGGGCCCCTTGCTAGGTGGTACTTTGTTTCAAGTCTTTATCTATACCATCTTATTTAGTCCTCAAAACAATTTCAGAAGTCAAGGCAACTGAAACTGTTCGTCTTAAATTTATAGATTAGGAGACTGAGGATAAGGGATATTAAATATTTGTGTAAGATCTCAGGGCTAAAAGTGACTGTGCTGGGAGTGCTTGGCTGGCTCAAACGGTAGAGCGAGAGGCTCTTGATTTCCTGGGCATGAATTAGAGCTCCACGTTGGGTGTAGAGATTATTTAAAAATAATAATAATAATTTTTTAAAAAGTCAAACGTCGTTGTAGATCTGAAACTCATGTAACATTGTGTATCCTTCAGTTAAAAAAAATATTAAGTAAAATAAACAGCCAAACTTCAAAGAGTTCACCTGGCCAGACGCTACATTATCGGGAGGGATACAGAGAGGAAGAGGTGACTTTATTTCCCCTTTAAAATCTATCTTCAATAAATAGGGAATCACCTTTGTACAGGATAGCGGAGCTCAGAAGCCACGATCCGTGAGATCCGAAAACACAACCCAAAAAACAGGTGAGAAAAGTAACGAGGAACCCTACAATCAGACTTCTCCGTTTCTTCTAGATGACCGAAAGCGGACGAAGGCTGCCCGCCTCCCGGCTGCCGGAGAATAAGCGTCGAGGCCAGCTTTGTTAGCGAGTTTCTCAGTAGAGAAGAAGGGGCGAGAAGACCAGGGCGTTAGGCCCGGGGAAGAGGCGACTGTCCCAGAAACCCCCACAGACACCACCACTTTCACCTCCACCCCTTGGGATCCCAGGCGCCAAGAGCCAGAACCCTACCCGGCTTCCCTTACTCACTTTCTTGATATTGGACTTGGAAGCGGGATGAAAGTCCTTCTTGCACATGAAATTGGCAAAAGACTTCCCCATCTTGAAGCCTAAGCTGGGGGAAGGCGGCCCCTGGATGTGTGAACAACGTAAACAAACGCTACCGCCTAACCGGAACTGCGCCTCCAGGGGCAGAGGGAACTTCCGCGGTCAAAGGTGACAGCTTCCGGCTGGTGGATCCTCCGGCTGGTGGCTCCTCCGCCTGCCCTAGCACACCGTTTAGCCCTTTCACTGAGGGTGGCTCCTAGGCCAGGTGAGGGGCGGGAGTGGGGGAGGGGCGTGCATAGGTATGGAGACAAGCGGGAAGCCGCGAGGTGCGGCGCGGCGGGGCCGAGGGGCTCCGGGAGTGGGACCACGGGTCAGGGGTGAGCCGGCTGCGGACTGAGCGCCGCCAGCTGTGGTGCAGAGTGTGTGCTGGCAGGCAAGGGGTGCTTGAAGTTCGAGCGGCTTTATTCTGTGAACTCTGACTCGAGTGACATAAAGTTCTCCGCACCGATTTTTCTCGCCTCGGTTTTGAAAATAGTCCTTCTCGCCCAAACTGTAGTTAGTACGGATCGGGTGGATCAAACGATGTGAGGTTTCTGAAAACGCTTGGTGAACTGAAGCATATGAAATGGAATGTCAACTCCACAAGAGCGAGGATTCTCAGCTCTACCGTGCCTGGTTCAGAGAGATGTTCCTAAACATTTGTTGATGATGAATGCGTACTAGGAGTTAATAAAGGCTCTCAAGCCTTCCCCTTCCCAAACGCGCTAGGCACTTTCCTAAGTAGGAGGCACGTTTCCTTAGCTTATAGCATGACCCCAGTTAGATAGCAGAGAACATCTAGTGCAACTTGATGGCCTTTTGAGATTCCAGGGTTTTGAGTGGACGTGGCTGCTTTGCTGTAGGGGATCCACCAACCAAGTCCTCTCGCAAGGACCGGGTGGGTGTGATAACAAGAATAAGCCTTTTATGAGAAACGGACTCTTCGTTCAAATAACAACAGCTTTCATTTGAGTGTCTGGTATGTTCCTTGCACTGTGCAAAAACGCTTTACACATTGTCTTATTAATTTCTATTTAATATTTAACGATGAGGCAGGAGGGTAGTTAGAGATTGAATAGCTTGCCAAGGTCATGCAGTGGTGTGACTAACTTTGGAACACAAATAGAAGGTGACCCAGGCATAAAGGTTGAAATTTACACAGAAAAGAACAGCAGTAATCGTGACCTCCCTCTCTCAATAACAGGAAAAGAGTAAAGTCTTAGGAGTTTCAGGCTGAAGGTGTTTCTTTCTTGAGTCATTTCTTTTCTTTTATTTTTTAAGTTTTATTTATTTCTGAGAGAGACACAGACAGACAGACAGCATGAGCAGGGGAGGATCAGAGAGAGAGGGAGACACAGAATCCAAAATCGCCTCCAGGCTCTGAGCTGGCTGTCAGCACAGAGCCCGACCCGGGGCTTGAACCCATGAACCGCGAGATCATGACCTTAGCTGAAGTCGGACGCTTAACCGACCGAGCCACCCAGGCGCCCCTCATTTGTTTTCTTTTGAATGAAACATTTATTAAATTTAGTTTTCGTTTTTAACTGCTAGTATGGGGTACCTGGGTGACCCAGTTGATTGATCATCCAATCTTGAGTTCCGCTCCCGTCCTGATCCCAGGGTTGCTGACCATTGAGCCTGTTTAAGATACTCTCTCTCTCTCTAAAAAAAATTTAAAACTAAAATAAAATAAATTGCTAGTATTTGTTTGTGTAAAGCCATTCTAAAGTTTGATCATTATAAAATAAGGGAAAGCAAGAAACTCTAAAACAATATGTCCATTCTGGAAGCAAATATGATCTACCAAAATTGAGGGTTTAAGATTTTCTAAATTACAAATGAAGATACCACCTTGACACTAAATTCTACAGTCAGGATTTATAAGTTATGTATGTGAACTTTTTCCTGGAAATATCAACAGTTTGGTATTTTAAATAACATGTTTTTGTATTTGTCTGATTGAGTGAGTCTTTACAATTTCAGTCTTCTCAGTTATTAATCTGTGTGTATTCTTCTCCAGCTCAAAGGAGATCCCTTCCTTCCTTTGAGGAAATACTGGGACATTTCACAAATTCAGGTGATGAGAATACAAAGATTAATAGAGCATACTCCCAGCCCTCAAGGATCTTATCGTCCAGAACGAGACTCATATATGTGCACAAATATGGAAAACTCATATGTGTACACATATATAGTCTTCATAGCAGTAGAGTTAAGTGTAGCGGTTCCCAAATATGGAAATACTGAAAGGAGATTTAGGGAAGACTTTGAGAGAGAAAGATCTTAGAGGATAAATTTAACCTATAGACTAGAAGAAGGTACTTGTAATGCCATTTTCTTATTGATTCTTGTAGTACAAGATTCATTCCCAAGTCATTTTCTTAGAGATTTTTGTAGTACAGTATCAAGTTTAAAACGTTAAGGAACACCCTTTATTTGATGCGGGAGTAACGTCCCTTGGTCATCAAATAAAACTCCTTGTTTATATATACTAAAAATGGTTTTCCCTTTTTATTTTGAATCTTGTGTATGTTTTCTAGTTTTTAAAAAATGGAACCTTGTTCCTGTGATACTTTTGTGGCATTACCTCCAGCAACGGTTGATGACAGGATTATTTTTGGAAAAAATTCAGATAGATTGTGTGATGAAGTACAGGAAGTAGTTTATTTTCCTGCTGCAACTCATGATAACCTGAGAGAACATCTTCAGGTAGGTGAAGTACATGTTTTGTTAGCAATGGTTTTCTTTAAAAATATCATAAGCAGCTTTTTAGTTTGCTAGCTATTTGGCAGAGACTCTAGAAATTAAAAATTCAAGAATTTAAATTTCAAAAATAATTTGAGTCAGAACTAGGCTGCTGGTCTTTTATTTCAATAATTTGGAGGAAGCTGAAAGAACAATAGAAATAGTTTTTAGTTCTTAGATCAAATATTTGAATGTTTATCATATGCAAGTGTGTCAAATAGGGCAAGGATTTAAAGCCTGCTGTCAAGATTAGTTCTGTCATCCAGGAGCTTAGAGTCTAGCAGAGGAATAGGATGTATATGTAATTAACCCCATTATGAAGTGAGGTGGTTTAATAAAAGCCGCAAGTTGTGTCAGCAATGGAGAAGGAGCAATTAATTCGGACTAGAGATCGAGGAAGGCTTCCCCAGGACCTGGGATTCAGCTGGAGTTTGATGGACAAAAAGGATTCTGTTTGGTGTAGAACAGGGAGTCATTCCAGTCGCTGGAAATAAAAAAACAGTTTTATCATCAAAAAAGGCTTATGTGGCCCTGTAATAACAGTATTAACATGCATTTTATGCAATCATTCCGTAGTATACACATTAATTAAAGGATCCTTTAAAATTTTTTATTAAAAATCTATTCAGCATGGAACTTAAGGTTTCACATTATGCTTTTATTGCTAAGTTATATATTTTTGAGATTTCATTTTATTGATAGTCTAATAATAAAATATCTTATATTAGATGTTTTCTGTATACAGGACAATTTTTTTTTCTTATGTTGAGACTATTTACTCATCTTGGATCCATTTCTACTTTCTCTCTTTGTGTTTAAATTTCTCCTATTCTGGAAGCTAGTGGTTCTTATTCTTTTCACTACTGTGGACGTACCGGATGGTTGACTCCCACATGCTATGTAGGTGTTTGTAGCTATTCTCTTGAATATAAGGGCTACCGAATGGGACTTAGGTCACTAATTAAGAAATACTAGACGTTGAGATTGAAGTCTCCTCCCTTAAGCTTCAACTCAATATATCCTCCTCTGCAAAATGTTTCAAGATTTCTAAACTAGAAACCACCTCTCTCCTGAGCTTCCATTAGCGCCTCATTTTTATTTTTCTTCACGGCCCTTATATTTTACATTTTGTCGTATTTTAGTTAATGTGCAAGTCTTAGTTTCTTGAAAGCAATATCTGTATCTGATTCATCTTTGTAACTAACATATGTCTTAGCAGAGTGCTTTATAATAGGGGATGCTTAGTAAATATTTGAATGAATAAAAGCTTTAGGGACCATTCCAAATGTTTTAAGAGTAATGACTTTATTATTGAAAATTTTAAGTTAGTTACACTTTATTTCATAACAGACATGTCTTCTGATTGATTTTTAGGATTCTAGAATCTGGTAACTTTTTCTTTTTTGGTTTTATGGCTGTTGCTATGCCTTTCTTTACAGTGTACTTACATAGAAATTGATCAAGTTCCTGAAACATATGCTGTTGTCCTCAGTCGCCCAGCTTGGTTATGGGGGGCAGAAATGGGAGCTAATGAGCATGGAGTTTGCATCGGGAATGAAGCTGTATGGGGAAGAGAAGAAGTTTGTGATGAAGAGGCACTACTGGGCATGGATCTTGTCAGGTTATGTTTTAATTATATTTTTCCGGTATAGAACTTGTCTAAAATTTTAATTTTGGTACAACTCTTATAAGTTTTATTTTCCTATCTTTTTTCCAGTTTTTGGATGTTGATACTTTATAGTTTGTGTTAAAATGCTTCAGAATACAGGCATACCTCATTTTATTATGGTTCCCTTTATTGCACTTCACCAATATTGCATTTTTTATAAATTGAAGGTTTGTGGCAGTGTTGTGTCAGGGAAGTCTCTTGGTGCCATTTTTTCTAATAGCATCTGCTCACTTTGTGTCTCTGTGTCACATTTTATTATCTCACACTATTTCTTATTATTTTGTACATTTTTAAAGTTTATTTATTTATTTCGAGGGAGACAGACAGCATGAGTGGGGGAGGGGCAGCAAGAGGCAGAGAGAATCCCAAGCAGGTCCACACAGCCAGCACAGAGCCTAATGTGGGGCTCGAACTCGCGAACCATGAGATCATGACCTGAGCCAAGAGCCAGATGCTCAACCCACTGAGTCACCCGGGTGCCCCAATTCTCACATTATTTCAAACTTTTTATTATTATATTTCTTACGGTGATCTATAATCAGTGATTATAACTTGTTGATAATGGTTAGCATTTTTTAGCAATAGCTTTAATTTTTAAGTCAAGGTATAGAATTGTTGTTTTAGACGTACTGCTGTGCACACTTACTAGCTACAGTATAGTGTAACCATAACTTTTATATGCACTGGGAAACCAGAAAATTCATTTTGACTCACTTTCCGCAATATTTGTTTTATTCCAGTGGTCTGTAACTGAGCCTGCAGTATGTCCAAGGTGTGCCCATATATGTATAATTTGAAGCCTCAAATAGCATTGAGAGGAGTTGAAAATTATGGTTGATTGAAAATACCAAACATACTTTATCAGACCTTAATTAATTCTGACAGTAACCTCATGGACTATAATATTATTATCCTCATTTTACAGATGAGATACCTGAGGTATAGAGATAAAGCAACTTGCTAATAAATTACGAAGTTGGAATGTGAACATTGAGCTATCTCACTCCAAAACTGTATTTTCAAGATTTCAAACTGACTTCAGAAGGAATGGCTTAGAAGTTGGATTTTGGGGGGGCCTGGGTGGCCCAAGTCAGTTAAGCATTCTACTTCGGCTCAGGTCATGTTCTTATGGTTTGTGGGTTCAAGCCCTGCATCGGGCTCTGTGCTGATGCAGCTTGGAGCCTGCAGCCTGCTTCAGATTCTGTGTCTCTGTCTCTCTCCGCCCCTCCCCCTCTTGTGCTCTGTCTCTTTCTCTCTCTCTCAAAAATAATAAACATTAAAGAATTTAAAAAAAAAAGTTGAATTTCAGTTTATCTGTTAACTTAAAACAGATAAAGTTCTTTAAAAAGAACCTTTATTTTGAATATAAACATAAAATCTCATGTGCATGAAATTACTTAAGAAAAACAATGGAAACTTATTTTAACCTAAGAACTTTAATATTTTTATTTTAGACTTGGCCTTGAAAGAGCGGAGACAGCTGAAAAAGCCCTCAATGTCATTGTTGATCTATTAGAAAAATATGGCCAGGGTGGAAATTGTACAGAGGGTAGGATGGTTTTCAGCTATCACAACAGTTTCCTGATAGCTGATAGGAAAGAAGCCTGGGTTCTGGAGACGGCAGGGAAGTACTGGGCAGCAGAAAAAGTACAAGGTATGGACGACCTGTCACGATTGAATTTTTTAAAATTTGCTTTACAATTAATCAAATAACCCCCTTAACGGCAGACCTTGCATTTAATTGTTTCTCAAGATTTATAATCCAGTGCAATGAAGGGTTCAAGTGCAGGGGAAATGAAAAAAAAAAGTGAAAGAATGTAATAGGGAAAGAGCACTATAAAAAGCTTTTCTGAAAAAGAGGAAAGATGGTGTTATCTTTTTATATTATGATATTAATTTTATATAACCTGTTTATATTTTCTGTGCAGCAGCTTTTGGCTGTTTTATGGTACTTTTCCACTTCTTATTAACCCCTTGCCATTTCTTCCTCATCTATCTTTGGGCTGAACTCAAAAATTTTATCACATGTGGATAAGGATGTCAGGAAAGGGGAGTGTTGCTGGGGGTGTCTGTCCATTAATGTCAGAAAGAATAGGTTGATATAATAGCAAAGCATAAACATTGCATAAAATAACACAATTTGTTTTAGGATGCTTAACATTTTTTTCATGGTTTCTTTGTGATCATAAATTCCTTTCATGTTACAAGTGAGGAAATCTAGCAAGGTGATGTGATTTACTCGAGGCAGTGATTGAAAGACTTAGAACTTAAATCTTTCCATCCTGACTCCATTCATTATTCTTCCATCGGAGTACAGCCTTTAGCTTAAGCATGATCATGTACTTCTTATGTACACCTCCTCGATCTCCTAGTATTACAGGAAGGATAAGATACACGTGTAAAAATATTACATGTTGCGTGAATGACTCAGGCACATAGATGCTGTGAACAGTTAGAGGAAGGGAAAGTAATCGTGGCCTGGAAAAATTCAGACAGTCTTCATAAAGGTAGCCTTGAGCTTTTTTTTTTTTTTTTTTAATGTTTTATTTATTTCTAGGAGAGAGAGAGATACAGCGTGAGCAGGGGAGGGTCAGAGAGAGAGGGAGTCACAGACTGAAACAGGATCCAGGCTCTGAGCTGGCAGTCAGCACAGAGCCCGACGCGGGGCTCGAACCCACGAACCGCGAGATCATGACCTAAGCGAAAGTCGGACGCTTAACCGACTAAGCCACCCAGGCGCCCCGCCTTGAGCTTTTTCAAAATAAGTCATTGCCAGTTTTGATGGACATTTCATTTTTTTGTTTTTCCTGTCTGTTAATATATAAAAGTAAATTTAGGCTATTTTCTTATTTTCAAACTGGGGGACAACTGGTTTCTATTTGTCAGACTGTTTTTCTAAATCTGTTTTAAAACATTATCAATTTTCATTTTTCCTGATCTATTTCATTTATTATGGTCTCTTTAGAACTGGTTTTTATTTTTTCTTCTGTTTTGTATTTTAGTTGAAAATTTTGTTGTAACTTAGTGCCATGATATTTTTGCAAGTCTTATATTTCTATAATAATATTATTTATGACTGCTTTTTAAAAAGTAATTTCTAGGGGCGCCTGGGTGGCTCAGTCAGTTAAGTGTCTGGCTTCGGCTCAGGTCATGATTTCACACTTTGTAGGATCAAGCCCCAAGTTGGGCTCTGTGCTGACAGCATGGAGCCTGCTTGGAATTCTCTGTCTCCCCCTCTCTCTGCCTCTTCCCCACGCGTATACTCTGTCTCTCTCAAAATAAATAGATAAACTTGAAAAAAACTTTTAAAAAGTAATTCATTTATCTTTTAGCATATGTATTAGATGAGAAGTCTACATTCACATTTAAATAGTGATGAATAATCATAATGTACACATAAATACAATATGTTAAATGTGATTTTCTTTTCCCTTCCCTTCTTCTTTGAAAATAGAGGGAGTTCGTAATATTTCTAATCAGCTTTCTATAACAACCAAGATTGATCGGGAACATCCAGACCTGAGAAACTATGCTCAGCAGAAAGGCTGGTGGGATGGTAAAAAGGAGTTTGATTTTGCTGCAACATACTCTTATCTTGACACAGCCAAGATGATGCTTTCTCCAGGCAGATACTGTGAAGGCTACAAACTTTTGAATAAGCACAAAGGTAATTTTATCATTGAAATAATATCAGAATGAAAAATTATATTTTGTCTAGGTATATGTATATCATATTTGGATATGATAAAATCTGGTTTTGGGAGAATTATTCTTAGTAAAGATGTAGTTTTATTAAACTTAAATTTTTGGGGCACCTGGGTGGCTCAGTCGGTTGAGCGTCTGACTTAGGCTTAGGTCATGATCTCGCGGTTCGTTTATTTGAGCCCCGTGTCAGGCTCTGTGCTGACAGCTAGCTCAGAGCCTGGAGCCTGCTTCGGATTCTCTGTCTCCCTCTCTCTCTGACCCTCCCCTGCTCACGCTGTCTCTCTCTCTATCTCCTAGAAATAAATAAAACATTAAAAAAAAAAAAACCCCTGAAATTTTGTAAACTGATACTGAAGCTTTATTTTTCTTTGAGATGACTGAAGTGCTGCTATATAATTTTGAGAGGATAATAATTCTTTTGTTTAAAAATTTTTTAAACATTTTTCATTTTTGAGAGAGAGAGATAGAACATGAGGAGTGGAGGGGCAGAGAGAAAGGGAGACACAGAATTCAAAGCAGGTTGTCAGCACAGAGCCTGATGTGGGGCTTGAACTCACAAACCGAGAGATTATGACCTGAGTCAAAGTCGGACACTTAACCTACTGAAGCCACCCAGGTGCCCTAATAATTCTTTTGGAAGGACAAATTCATATTCACAATCCTCAGACCTTTTTTTATTTTTTACTAATAATCTTAAACCAAACTGGGATTGTTTTTCTTCTCAGAATTTATTGGAACAGGTTTCTTTCATTTGTCTTTTGATAATATTCTTATTGGTGATTTTCTTACTAAAAGAGTTATATCTAGGGGCGCCTGGGTGGCTCAGGTGGTTAAGTGTCTGACTTCAGCATAGGTCATGATCTCTTAGTTCATGGGTTTGAGCCCTGCATTGGGCTCTGGGCTGACAGCTCAGAGCCTGGAGCCTGCTTCAGATTCTGTGTTCTCACTCTCTCTCTCCCCTTCCCCTGCTTGTACTCTGTCTCTCTCTCTCAAAAATAAATAAACATTTTTAAAAAGTTTTATCTAGAAAGGTTGAGAAGACAGACTGAACAGATAGAAGAATACTGTCTTTCTACTCTTAAACTCTAGAGATGTTGAATAAAATATTTAAACATTAAGGATATATATAGTCAGTTTTGAACACAAGTAAAGGACATCACCAGGTACCAAAAATGAATAGAGAACCTGTAGTGTTGGCAAGATTTGAGGTGTCTCTTCGCCATGCAGTCTTCCTATTTGTTCTGGAGGGGGTTATGGATGAGATATAAGGCTTTAAGGCTAGTTCTAACATCTACGAGAATGTAGATGTCTAGATGAAAGACCTATTTCGGGAACAGAAACTGGACTACTTACTAAAATTATGAATCTGAAAAACGCAATTCTGCTCCCTTCCCAGAGTCCCATCCTGGAATTGAGCTGTCTGTTGTCTCAGTCTATGGATCAGCACGGTCTCTTGTGAGAGTCTTACTGAAGTCTGAGCTACATGTACTTAGTAGGCTTAACTGGGGCTGTCTGAGCTGTGCTGAGAAACAGACATTGGTTTGGAACCAGTAAATCACACAGGATTTCAGCAGAGTCATTATGTGAATATTTGATATGACCAATATTCAGATTTTACTCAAATTTCCAATCCAAATGAGAAATCTGGATGAATCTACATGTAACTGCCATTGAAAACATGTTATGTGGGCATTCAGATGAAAGCATATAGTTTCTGTATTTACTATGGATGAGAACATTTACTATGTTCTCAATTTCACTGATCTTTTCTTCTGCATTATCTAATCTGTTGTTAAACTCATCTAGTGATATTATCCTTCTTCAGATATTATATATTTCATTTCTATAGGTTCTATTTAGTTCTTTTTGTATATATTTCCCATTTCTCTATTTATTATTTTCATATTTTTCTTCAAATCCTTGAACATATTCAGCATATACCTGTTTTATAATAGCTATTTTAGCCTCATTGTCTGCTAGCTCCATTATCTCTGTAATTTCTGGGTCTGTTTCTGTTGATCTGATTTTCTTCTGGTCTGGGGTCAAATTTTCCTGCTTATTCATGTGTCTGATCATTTTTGATTGGATGGTGGACATTGTAGGTTTTATTTGTTGTGTGCTGGATTTTGATTCCTTTTTTAAATATTTTATTTATTTCTGAGAGAGAGACAGATACAGAGAGAGAGAAAGAGAACATGAGTGGGGAGGGGCAGAGAGAAGGAGACAGAGGATCTGAAGTGGGCTCTGCATTGACAGCAACAAGCCTGATGCGGGGTTCAAGCTTAGGAACTGTGAGAACATGACCTGTACCAAAGTTGGATGCTCAATCAACTGAGCCACCCAGGCGCCCCTTCATTTGAGTCCTTTAAAAGAATGTTGGATTTTATCAGTCAAGTGACCCGTAGAACAGTTTAATCTTTCTTTTGCCTGTTTTTAAGCTTTTCTAGAATAGCTCTAGAGTAGCCTTTACTCTAGGGTTAGTTTAGTCCCATTACTAAGGGGTGTGATCCTTCTGGATATTGTGGTCATCTATGCCCTTACTGATTTTTTGTTGTTGTTGTTGTATATAGTGTGAAAGGAGTGTGAAAATCTCCAATTATACTTATGGAATTGTGTGTTTTTGCTTTGTATTTTGAAACTCTATTATTAGATACATACACATTTATAATTTTTATGTCTTCCTGGTAAATTGGCCCTTTTGCCTTTATGAAATATTTCTCTCTGGTAATACTCATTTTCTTGAAGTCAATTTTAGTCTAGCCTTCTGCTTACTCCTTACATGACATATATTTACCTATCATTTGCTTTCAAACTATCAGTATTCAGACTATCAGTGCATGCTAAAAAGCATAGAGTTTTGTCTTTTCTTTTTTTGTTTTTAACCAGTTCTGATAAGTTCTGCCTTTTAATTGGATCTGTAGTTCATTAATATTTAATGTAGGTTGGTTCTGGCTCCAGATAAGATGGTATAAGTACATTACACTTTGTCTTTCTTTCTCTCATTGTATATAACCAAAAACCTGAAAATATTTCATGGATTAGCTATCTGAAGACTCCTAAATGTAAGAAGGGACAGATAATAAGAGAAAGAAACCAGAACTCAGAGTAGAATGATCCAGCAGTGAATTTCATGGTTTTTTCCTCTGTATCACCCAGCCTGATTTCAAACAGCATGAATTCTGGAACTGTGTACATAGTGTGGACAGTGGACCGAGAGTTTCATAATATAATGTTATAGTCCAAATGATACAATCCAGAATTATTCAATATATGAACATGTAGGACAATCTCAACAACTTGGAAGGGAAAAGACAACCACAGGGATTATCAAATGAAGACTTAAACAGCTATTTTAGGGGTAAACACTCTTGCTCTAGACGGAAAGGTAGAATATCTCGGCAGAGAAATAAAGCTATAAAAGAACTAAATGGAAATTTTGTAATTGAAAAACACAATACCAAGGTAAAAAAAATTAACTCAGGAGGCTCAGTAGAATGGAGATGATAGAGGAAAGAGTCAGACGACTTGCAGATAGGTTAGTAGAAATTATCTAATGAACAGAGAGAAAAAAGGTTGAAGCAAGCAAACCATAAAGAGCAGGTCTTAGGGACTGTGAAATGATACCCACATGTCTAAAATTCATGCCTTTAGAGTCTCAGAAGGAGAGAATGGTGTGGCATGGAAAAAAAATTTTTTTAAGCTTGTTTATTTTGAGAGAGAGAGAGCACATGCGACCATGAGTGGGGGAGGGACGGGGGGGGGGGGAGAGAGAGAGAGAGAGAGAGAGAACCCCAAGCAGGTTCTGTATTGCCAGTGTAGAGCCTAATGCGGGGCTCAAACCCATGAACCATGAGATCATGACCTGAGCCAAAATCAAGTGCCCGATGCTTAACAAACTGAGCTGCCCAGGTGCCCCATGCAGAAAGATTTTTGAATAATGGCTAAAACCTTCTCAAAATGGCAAAAGGCTTAAGCTTACAGATTCAGGAAGGTTAGCAAATCTCTAACAAGATAAACTCAAATCCATACCTAAATGCACAAACTGCTGAAAAACAAAGAAAAAACCTTGAAAGAAGCTAAAGAAAAACTGCATATTAAAAAAATTATTTCTGAGAGTTTTAAAGTTCTAAAAGAGGGGCGCCTAAGTTGCTCAATTAGGCATCCACCTTTTGATTTTGGCTCAGGTCATGATCTCCCACTTCATGGGTTCAAGCCCCATGTGGGGCTGTGTGCTGAGAGTGCAGAGCCTGCTGGGGAAATCCCCCTCCCCTGCTTGTTTGTTCTCTCTCTCTCAAAATAAATAAACATTAAAAGAAAAGATTTGTAAAACCGTAATTCTATATCTTGCCAAAATATTCTTCAGGAATGAAGGAAAAATTAAAAAAAAATCCTTTTCCTCTTAGTAGGAAAACTACTTTGTTGCCAATAGTCTGCTCTAAAAGAAATTTTAAAGAAAGTATTTTAGAAAGAAATGATATCACAATAAAACATAGAACTTCAAGAATGAAGGAAGAGCCACAGAAATGCTAAATATCTGGGTAAAGAGAATACTATGTTTCTGCTCTTAAGACTTAAAAAATGTGTGTGACAGTTAAAAGCCAATTTTACATTTCCTATAATACACAGAATAACCACAGTATAAAGAGGAGAATACATAGAGACCTATATGGTAGGTCTACCATATAGATTTCTACATTCTCCTTGAAGTTTTGAAGTATTAATTCTAGTAAACAGAAAAGCTAAGTATGTATAGTGTAATCCTAGAGCAACTTTTTAAAAAGCTACGTAATAAGACATAGGAAAAAGTTGAACAAAACATTAAAATGGAATACTAGGAAAATATTAAAAAAGAAGGTGAAAAGGGGGTAAACGGAGGAACAAAAAAGTAGAAGTTTCAAACAGAAAACAAACAATATAACGTTGACCTGAATTCCAACATAGCTATAATTAAGTATACATGCT